ATTAAATTTAAAAAAAACAAAAAAAAAAACCTTGAATACACAAGAAAAAATAACAAATTTATAAACAAGATATAATTGTTTTTAAACAAATGAAATAAACTCAAAAAACCTTAGAAAAAGCTAACTTTTTTTTTTTTAAATTTTGTGGCACTTTTGAGATACAACTAAACAATCTATAAAAAATTTAAAAGTGTTTATAGGTTTAAATAATCTCTTTTGACCAATAGATAAAACCAACCATACAACGGTAAATCATAAACCATGCATTAACACAAATTTGTCGTATTGAATTAAATATTTTAAATATTATATGCTAATACGTAGCAATTAAGAGAAGCACTTAAAACCTTTTTTTTTTCTTTTTTTTTTTTAAATGACCATAAATTTCTCTTTAATAAAAAAATTTATGAGTCCCTATTTCATAAAATTTTATCTACATATAGCCAATTGAGTGCTTTTCATTTCTTATAGAGCTAATGATGAGTACCCATGTGATATAAAATATGTAATCTTAGTTCAATGTATTAGGTCAATCTAGATCAGTGGCAAATCCAAGATTTGTTATGAGGGGTCCCTGGGGCTCTACCATTATTTACGAAATAACAAGTAAAAACTACAAAAAATTATTAAACTATAAACAAAAAAAAAAAAATATATATATATATATATATCATGAACCTAAGAGAAAAAAATATAATAACACAATATTTTCTATTTGACTAAATCTATGAGGAGCAAAATTTTTAGTAAATGGGTTGAGTAATCCTTAAGCAAAACCTTCTTTTAATTTTTTTTTTTCAATTTTTTGCTTCCAAAGATTATAATATAATTTTCATGATTTTAATCAGACCTAGCCTAACCTAAGTCAACCAAAACTTAAATCAAGTCAACGTTATATTAATTTTTAATATGAATTAATAAAAAAATGAGGAATTTTCTTGGTATAAATATAGATAGTAACTCAAATTTCCTTAATAATTTTGAGCAACTGAACGGTGACATTTGAAATGTAGGAAAGTGGTGGGTAAAGAATGAAGAATATCGTCCTTTAAAATATAATAAAAGTTTTAATTTGGAAAAGCAAGTTCATTTTTAAACACAAAACACAAAATAAACTCATAAAACTCATGTCTTTTTTTCTCAAATTAGAATTAGAAACCCAAAAAAAAAAAAAAAAAAACAAGATTTAACTCTAAAATAAACTAAATTGAAATGAATAATATGCATATCTAACATTGATAAAACAAAAATTGAGTTAATTGTGACACCTTGAATAGTAAAAGTTTTAAGACCGAATAACACGAGAAAAAAAATAAATAAATAAAAGAGTAAAGAATTTTGGAAATGTCGTGAAGAAATAGGGTGGAGAGAGTTTTAAATTTTTAATATGATCTGAATTTGAAATATATATATTAATAATAAATTTTATATGAAGTTAGATATATGTATAATAGTTATGATTTTTTTTAAATCTAAAGGTGGGCCATGTATATATATATTAATAATTATATTTTATGGTCTATATATTAATAATTAAAAAAATATATATATGAGGGTAGGCCCCCGCCTCTGATCTAGATATATAATTGTTACAAAATGAAAGCAAAAATAGAAGCGAATATGTGAATAAATAGTAAATAAATTTATTTAGTTAAGTCAAATTACTTTTCTATGATTGTGATTTGTGGTCTACCAAAATCATTATTACATGTAAAAAAAATTCCCGAAAATATTATTATTATTTAGGAAAGAAAAGTTACAATGGTAGGTGTAATTAATTATGCTACCCATATGCAAATATTAAACAAATTATATGTAGTCAATTCAAATGCTTGTTTAGGGCAAACCACATATTCCCACCCAAGGTTTAGCTAAATGACAAGTTTCCACCCGTGGTTTTATAAATTCCAAATTCCTTCCATAAATTAACATAAAATTATTTTTGGTAGCAGTTAAAGGTTAAAGTAGCAATTGAACCCCCCATTTCAAACCACCACTAGCCGTCCCACCCATTCCCACTGCACCCCGCCGTATTCTAGTCAAATCAGCCTGAATATGGTGTTGTTGAGCATCCCCACCGCTACCAACAAACTCCCCACAACCCCCTTCACATCTCTTTCCTGAGCGATTCCACCCCCTACTGCCGGCAGCCATGCACGATTGACTCATGTGATTCCAGCCTTTTTTTGGTCGATCCTGATTTCAACAACCCCATCCACCGCCACCCTTTGGCTCACCGATTTCCCCCTAACAAAACCCTTAACCTTCCCGACCTCAACAACCCACCATTCATCGCCCACCACTCAACCTAGGGTTTGTTGCTTTTTTTTTTTTTTTTTTTTTTTTTTTTTTTTTTTTTTTAAATTGGCTGTTGAGGATTGTTGTTTAATGAAATTGAAGTTTGGGGTTTGTTTGAGGGATTAATTGAAGTGTTTTTTGTGGTTGGAAGTGAATTGTAGCTTGGTTGGTTTGGGGACTTTCCACAAGGCAAGAAAAGAAGGGTCGGTTGATGACAAACAGTGAGTGAGGGAAGGTGGTGCGAGGGTGGGTTTTGAAGAGGGGGAATGGGGGTTTGAATGGTGGTGGTTGGGTGAATTTCCAATGAGGGAGTTGATCGAAAAGTGGCTGCAAAGAAGGGGGGTTTCAAAGACAAATGATCACCGGTTTTCGACAAACGACAGGAGCAACGGTGGTGGAGAAGGCTGGGGAAAGGTAAGGAGGGTGTAGGGAAGAGTGAGGAATTTGTTTTAGGTGGAAAAGTAGACGGAAAATGGCTAAAACAACTAGCTATGGTGGTGGTTCGAAGTGGGGTAAACGGCAATTTGTTAATAGCACATGCCAGAACCCAATAGTTACTAATGATGTTACTTGAAGAGTGCGTATCGGAGTAAATGAAACCAATGATATAAACTTGGGATTGCGCTGAACCTTGGGTGAGAATATATTATTTACTCTAAAGTAAATCCCAATAATCTTAAACTTGTTACTTATTTATTTGAATTATTGAATGATGATAAAATGGTTCAAACAAAAATGAGAGAAAGGCATTATCACAATAACATAACTTTTCAAACTTAAATAAATTAACACGTACGTCTTAATTCTAAGATTAATTTCTTTTCAAACAACCATTTGTGAAAAGAAAATTATCAGATAAATAGGTTTTAGTAACACTCACTCCCAAAAAGCTAACCTAAGAAGGAGGGAGTCCATTGCCTCAAACAGACATGGTTTTCATGTACACAAATCCTACCATCAACTTAAACAAACGTGACTCAAATACAATGGTAAATGAGTTTCATAAAACTTATTTCTAAAAAGTTAGCTCAAGAAAATCTAATCATATATATATATATATAAAATAATCTATCAAGCTTAGGGATGTGGAACAAATATTCCTTTTAATATTATACACATCTCAATCACAATAACTACCTGAATGGACCCTGTAATTACATAACTAAAATTTTCAAAAATGCATTCAATAATTTAAAACCCAAAGTTTGGTAAATAAAAACAAAAAAAAAAAAAAAAATTCAAAATTTTGCTCTTGTTTAGGTTTAGCCGCTACCCAATATGTATGGCTAGGTTACATTCTTCATCATCGATCAGTCATTAATCATCAACAGTGTACGAGAGAATCGATGTGCATGCAAAGACACCATTAATGAGTCTTATTAATAATGTAGAGCTTTTGCCAAAACAATACACTGTTTGGTTGGTGCCTTGGTGGCCTAGTTTAATCTGGCTGTCGCTTTTTTGCCTCAGTTCGGGATCAGTGCTCTTCCTGATATCCAAAAGTCAAATTTCTTTCTTCAACCGGTGACCATCACCTAACACTAACAAGAGTGTTTGCTCCGTACACCTTTAGGTTTTGTAAAGTAACACTTACACACTTCAAATTGATGGACTTGATCACTTGACATATAGGGGACGTTTGATTCAGAAAACATTAGATTTGGATTACCGAAAAGTTCGATTACCTTAAAGATTATTAAAATTTTTTAAAAAAATATATTTGGTTAATTAATAGATAAGTTATATTAATATATTTGGTTGAGAGAAATAAATTGGTAGATATGTTATTTAAATTACTGAATTGTCCTCTAATTTAATATTATTTTTTTAATATTAATTATTATTTGGGTTATTATAACCCTCTTGTATTTAAAAACTTAACAAAAATAACCCTATAATAAAAGTTTGAAAAATCAACAAAAAACCCTCACAGCCTAGCCACTACCCGCCACCGGTAATTATCGCAGGCCGCCGGTAGCTGGCAACCTAATGACTCACGGAAGGCAGGAAATGGCCTCCGTGCATCATATGGCCATTTTCGGCCAAAAATCTAACCAGAAATGGTCAGACGTGACAGATCGATGACGGATCTAGCTGTAATCTAAGCAATCCTACATAACCTCCAACCAAATGCCCCCATAGTCTCATTCATTTACAAAGACTATTTTACCCTGACTTTGTCTTATATAACTTTTAGAAAGTGACACTCGTAAACAAAATGAAAGTTTCATGCACGATTTTGAATGAAGGAATAAATGAAAAATGAAAATTTTAATCTTTTAAAATGACTCTTCCGTTCTAGTCATTGCTTTATATAATCTCAGTTAAAAAAACCAATTTACCTTGTTTTGTCCTGTAACTTTGAATGAGATAAAGAAAGTGGAAAATCCTCTTTTGGTTGACTCTTCCATTCCAATAGTTTTGTTATTCTACTACTTTGAAAGTAACTAGTTTAATTTCAGTCACTCGAGCTTGTCGATTTAAAGGGTAAAAGTGTAACTTCTTGAAGTCTATGGGTTTTAAGTCTGTCAGTAAACGTAAGGGGTGCCAATGAGAAATATCCCCCAACACCAAACATACTCACAAATTCTCTCTCTTGAGTGATCACAAAGTTCGAAAGAATCCAAAGAATTCTCACCCAATCTTTGCATTGATATTTAAGTTTAGTACCTTTTGATCCTTCTTGTCTTTTATCACTTTCTCCTTACCTCTCCTTTTCACCATCTGAATTCCTCTGATCCTTCTCTCTTGTTGCATAATCACCAAACGATAAAACGAGATCGCTCGATCGATGTTATTGCCTTCCTACTTCACCTCTCAAACTTCAACCACGTAGAAAAAACAACATGGACGTTCGATCCAGAAGAACTAGACAAACCAGCCCGGACAGAGCCAAACTCTCCCTGCAACACCCCCGCCACCACCAGCCGCCGAAGCTTAAACCCATCAAAAAAGTTCAGGTCGTTTACTATGTCACCAGAAATGGCCTCCTCGAACACCCCCATTACATGGAAGTCTCCCACTTCGCGACTCAGCCCCTTCGCTTAAAAGGTAAATTAAACTATCCATTTTCTTCTTCAAAAGAAAGTGAAATTAATCTTCATTTCTTCATTGTTTTGTAGATGTAATGGAGAGGCTGATCGCTCTTAGAGGCAAAGGCATGCCCTCACTATATTCTTGGTCATGCAAAAGGTATAATATAAATTAAATTAATTATGTGATATGTGAAGTTTAATTTATTTATAAATCACGATATTTATCTTATTGTAAATGTTTTTTTTATTTCAGGAGCTACAAAAATGGCTATGTGTGGAATGATTTGTCAGAAAATGATATTATTTTTCCAGCTAATGGAGGTGAATATGTACTAAAAGGCTCTGAACTTCTTGAAGGTCGCTGTGGTAATTAATTTTTTTTTTTTTTTTTTTGTATTTATTCAAATCAATTAAAATTTATTATCATACTGAAATTTATTTTGTGATTTTCTAGACAATGTAGAGAAATTGCAGCAGTTGAATGTGAGTACCAGGCAGTTGATTCAAGAGCCAAAGGAACCATTCAGAACCCCAGCGTATGAATATCAAGATTACGAAGACGAGTTTGAGGAAGACGAAGAGAAGACAAGCTTTACAAGCTCCAGGACTTCTCATTCTCGCTGCTCGAGAGGCGTTTCAACGGACGAACTGGACGAACCAGAACCGCCAAAACCGCCGGTCACTGAGTCGACACCAACGTTAACTCGCTCACCCCCATCACTATCTTCCATCTTGTCTCAAGAAAAACCAACCAACAACAATAACAACAAAAACAACAACAACAACACGTCTAGAAGGTTTGAAGATGGTGACCCAGCGGTCACGGAGTCTGCACCGAGTCGTAACTCGGTTTTCCTCCAACTCTTTTCCTGCGGAAATCTAGCCGTCCCTAAAGCAAAGAGTAATAATAACAATGTCGTGAGAAGGAGCAGCAGCGATTTACACAGAGGGGTTCTTTGTAAGAGGGCGGTGAAGGTTGCTGAAGAAGAAGATAAAGATATGATAAGCTTCATGTCTGAGAATCCGAGGTTTGGCAATTTGCAGTCTGAAGAGAAAGAGTATTTCAGTGGGAGCATTGTTGAGTCAGTGAGTAAGGACCGAGTTCAGACTCAGCCTGTTCTCAAGAAATCAAATTCGTATAACGAAGAAAGGTCAGTAGTTTCTAACTCTTGTTATTTAACTGTTACTGATGAGCTGACTCGGTTTCGAGTCAATTGAAAAGTTTATAAAAATTCTTTCTAGGTTGACTTTTGCTATATTCTTTTACTAATCTTTATATTTGAAATATATAATGTTTTATTTTCATTAAAGACAAGATCTTGTAAGATTCTTGGTTTATATATCGTATACTCTGTTGAGATTTTTTGATTAATCATACGTAGGATGACCTAATTATGTGATTTTGCATGGACGATTCAGGAGCTCGAAGGCTGCAATAATGGAGGAAATCAAAGTGGAGGAAGATGAAGAAGAGAAAAGAACCAATAATGGGGTGAAAACCAAATGCATTCCTCGCAAGAAATCTTCATCATCATCTTCTTCAAAAAAAAATCATCAGAAAATGAGTTTATGATCTTTAATTTCATAATTTCCTTATAGTGGAGTTGTTGGAGCAGTCATAATTAGGGTTGAGTTACTAATTATAATTAATTAGAACTTGATTAGTGTTCTATAATCATGATTAAGAGAGAACTGTTTGTTCGGTGGAAAGTTGGAAAAAAAAAAAAAAATTTGAAAGGATGTTTGGACCATTCTCCACCGTCTGATTTGGGTTCATACAGCACATCAGATGGCTCAGTACGATTGTCTTTTCAGTGATTTATTGAGAAAGATCTTTCGTAATATTTACTGTTATTCATTTATTTTCATAGTAAATTTTGATATTAAAGTAGTTATTGATGAATGATGATTGATGAATATTGAATAATAAACAGAAGAGCAATTGACGTGTTCCCACCAAAGGTTAAGAGAAGTGTTCACCCTTGTTTTATAAATTTCAGATTCCCACATGTAAAGAAACATGTTATTCCGTTAATGATTGTTGAGTTTTGACATAGATGTAGATGACGCTATTACCAAAATGTCATTCCATCTTCTTCTCCTTTATCTCCCCATACTCATCTCCAACCACCGCAACCTAAAACCGCCACTGCCCACCCTCACTGCGTTGTGCTTGCACGATTGCATTTTCCAACCGCATCGTGCAATTCATGATAGCGATGTGCCCACCTCACCGCCCCATCACACACCCGACCCTTACCATCTATCACCCTTCGCCTTTCTCGACCCGCACGACCGTCGATATTTGGTTAAAGAAGTTGGTTTGTTATTTATAGTGTTGGATTGACAATTGATTTTTGGTGATTTGCAGGAGTTTTTGAGTTTGCTTGTGTTGGTTTAATTGGGTTTTTTTTTTTTTTTTTTTTTTTTGGTTTTTCGCTATTCCTATCTATTATGCCTGAAAAAGTAGGGCTGACGTGGATGCCCTATCAGCATGAAGTGGTTAGGATTTGGGAAAGTTCTGCGACCGCTCACACGCACTCACGTCGTATAATGACATAAGTGGCATGCTTCTGTTAGTGCAGTGGGTGAGCGTCAGGTTAGCGAACGGCTGAATATTGTCCACATGTCAAATCCCTGCACAAGACGAGGAAATCACTCGGGCAAGTGAGCAATGGGACGCAGATAAGGATTTGCACAGTATCCACCCCACTTGCAGAATAAGTAATCATGAACTTGGTTTATCCCAGTATAAATAGAAGATTTCTCTCTCATTTGCGGGATTAGCTAATCTTACTCTAGAATAACTCTCTCTCTCTCTCTTTCTCTCTCTCGTACTCTCGAAATTGTAACTCAGGTCACTGAACGCGACCTGACTTGATTTTCTTATTAATACAATATCAGTGGATGTAGGATTCGCTCTTGGGGATCTGAACCACTTTAAACATTACTCTTCATCTTTTATTTAACCAAACATTTCTATATCACGTGTGACCTCTAAGTCAAATTAGCATTTCTCACATGCGATTAGTTGATATCAAAATCAAGCACCAACACTATCTCTTTTCCACGGCCCCCACCCCCAACGCTCATCAGGTGTTCCACGAAACGCCCCACCCACCAACCTGCTCGCCTTCCTCCTATGCACGCGATCCAATAGGTGTAGGACTGATGGGTGATCTTGGGTGGGGATGATAGGTTTGGTGCGTGGAAGCTAGTGAAGTGAATGGTGGTGTCCAGGTTGATTTTCAGTGTTAGAATCAACCAAAAATGGGCTTGGAGTGCATGTACCCTGGATAAGTGGCAGTTGGTGATTGAAGGGTGTTCTTGGGTGGTAATGAAAGGGGTTTTGGTGTGTGGGTTAAGGGAAAACGTTTGGTGGTGTCGGGGGTGTTTGACGACACCAAAATCAAGTCAGATTGGCGTGAGACGACAGTCGTGAGGATGGGTTTGGGTCATGGGATAGGATTCCGGTCGAATGAGATTTGAGATTTGAAATGACTATTTTATCTTTTAGCTGTAACATTAAATATTTTTCTATTAATTTAAAATTAGAAAATATGAAATTTATGAAACGAGGGTGAGAACTTGACATTTAACTTGACCTTAGGTGGGAACATGTCGTTTACTCCAAAAAGAAATTAATAATTATGCAAATGTGNAAAAAAAAAAAAAAAAAAAAATCCCAAAACAAATTATGGAAAACGCCGGGTAAACTTTGATCTCTTTTTCTCTTTGCTTTCCCTTTTTTATGTGTTTTGTTGAGCTACAGCTCATCATAAGCTATTCACGAAATTAACAATGGCTCTATAGCTATTGGATGATACAATCACCCTTTAGGCCTTTACCATACACATCACTAACACAAACAATGTAGTTTAAAAATTATCACAAGATTTTGATAATTTTATAAGTATTTGGTATGATAATTCGATACATATCATATAAAGTTGGTTAGGGATGAAATCCAGATGTCTTGACTCATATCAGAATGGACTTCATTTAATGAGTGGGATATAAATATGTGCATAGATTCTAGGGTTTATATGTACCTGGCTTATTAATTCAGAATATTCAAGTTTTCGTTATTTGATTTATCCACCTTTCTTGAGTATTAATTTTCAGTTGATATTCTATAAGAGTATAATAATATTATAAATACTAACTAAATATTCCAATTTTATACTCTAATGATGGGTAGTTTGGTAAGTAATCTAAAGTCTCATAATTGACAAGTAATACTTCTCTAAATTTTCTCATACTCAAGATATTCCTTAAATATTGAAGATATGAATAAAAACATAAAATACATATCATTGAGGAACACTACACAATCCAGGCCTGATAAGGCCATTACATTTAAATTCCCTGGACTGAAAATTATTTGAAAATTTTAACATTTGTAAATTAGATGGTTATTATTTACATTGAGTAGGGTAACCAGGTCAGTGGGAGAATTATTCTGAGTTTTTGAGAGTCATTTTTCCAGTTGGGCAATCTTGTGTTTAAAAGTAATCTTGATTTTGGGCTTCCAAAAAGAAGTTTGCTGCAGCCCAAATGCCACCAGCCCATTGATAAGGCAAGAACAAAAACACAAACATCCACATAAAAACCAACTATCTTCGTCTCTGTTTTATATCATAGTCTTAACTTACGTAGTTTTATATCATAGTCTTAACTTACGTTGAATGCGTAAAGGCACTACGTTTTTGAAAGAAATAACAAGTAAAGAAACTATCAATTGTCAAACAAGTAAAGAAAAGTATAATGAGAATGATTTATTTCTTCATTTGTTATTACATATAACAAATTCTCGGAAGAAAATTATCCGCATCGTCCATAAGCTATACGGACTGAGTTTTATTTAGTCCTATATATCTAATATAGTATATCAAAGAGTTTCAACTACCGTATCCCTTATGGGCAGAAAGTAATAGCGTAGTTAGCCCCCTTGCATGCAAACACGCTACTAGCATCATCTTTGGGGTAACTATAAGCTTGAGGGCATTGGTTCTTGAAAATTGTAGCGTAGTTCGTTGGTGGGCAGTTATCTTTAAAAGCTTCAGTGCAACAATACTTTGGGTCTTTAAATTGTTCACATGCACTCTTGCAAGCAATCACACTTCCGTTGGGTCCTTTCACTTGTAGCTCTGCTGGGCACTTCGCGTTCACGTCGGCTGAGCATGTGAGTTTAATACATTTAGGACCACTGCCATTTTGTGGGGCGACAGCAATAGGAAGGTTAAATCCATCAACGAGACTAAGATTGTAGTAATCTTGTCCGTCTTCTGTTTGGAACTTTATTTCGACCAGGGATGCAGGTGGGACTGCACCTTTACCATTGCATGCAACTTGGCCTGAGCCGCAGTCTGCAGTGACACACTTGAAGTTGCCGGAGCATTGTGTTCGGGCCCAAAAACGACCCGCCCATCCAGTAGGAATGTTGAGGGTCTTTGTTCCTCGGGAGGGTAACTCGAACCCGGTTTCTGCTAATTGAGGATGCTCAGCGTTGGCGAGAGTTCCTGGCCAAACAGTGTATGGACAATTGTTTGTAATGGATACAGTTGCCAAGTGAGCTCCTGCATATGGAAACCAATTAAAATGTGCATCATTACTAATCAAATACTTGTTATTTATATACATTAACGACAATAAAGAGATAAAATGAAGAGAATGAAATGCATACCAGAGACGAGGAAGGCTAAGGTGAGGGAAAATATAAGTTGGGCAGACATGCTGGCCATTGCTTTAATTTGGTTTGGTTTCTGTAAATCAGGCTATGAAGTAAAATGATGTATAAATGGAGGTATTTATAGGGTTGGGTGCCGTGTGGTTATACGTTACTGAAGATTAATATTTATCCTGTTGTGGAAAATTCAACTGGGAAACAAGTCTGAGCATCCCACCTGAGTATTGATTGACATAATTAAAATGTTACCGCAAATTTAGGGCTGCATCTTTTGAAAGGTCTAAGTCATGACTCATTAGTCAAAGTGTTCATGCCGTGTTGGTTCTGCCTTCGAAGAAATCTGTTAAGATAATGGTTTTAGATCATCTTATTTATTTATTTATTCATTTTATTAATTTAATACGATATGTTAGCAAAACCTGATACTTGGTGTTAAAAGATAAAAAGTGGTATTTCTTTTTCATATTTGTTTATATGTTATAATAAAGATTAATTTTTAAGACATATATTACATTATTTAGATCGAGCCTATAAAGCAATTACAAGATAAAATTAGGACGAAATTTTATCATTTTAATAATGTCTTAATGTTTTCTCAATTACAAAATGACAAAAATAAGGAAAACCATTTTGAAAAGGCACACATGATGTGTCCTAATCTATGCTTCCATCCAAAAATATTCTTATGTATTCATTTTAAGATATATTAATCTATTAGTTATTAGTCACCTTTGGTTGTGATTCTTATCTATTAAAAGAGATGGGTAGATCAGTAAACGACTTTTTCCCACCCAAGGTTTGCCTTAATAACTTTTCCACCTAAAAAGTTTTAAAATACCATTTTTTTACCCAAAGTTTACATTCCGTTATTACCCAATGTTGATTTCAGCAACGAAAATTCTCTCCGTCACCACCATTTGAACATCTGGTCTCCTCTCTACAAAACCGCTTTTACTCTAACACCTGATTTCTCGTCGATTACTAGCTATCGTAAAATTAGGATTTTTTATTCTTAGTTGATTTTCGATTGATTTCAACGACAAATATCCAATCGGTCATCCTCATTTAATCTATTGACTTCTACTTTACAAAACAACTCTTATCCTGTCTCCTAATAACTTTCTGAACATTGATTAAGAAAGTGAAGTGTATTTTAGGCATTAACGGAATATAAACTTTAGGTAAAAAAATAGTATTTTAAATTTTTTAGGATAGAAAAGTGTCATGAAGTAAAACCTTTGATGGGAAAAAGTCGTTCACTCTAAAAGAGATACATGATGTCATATTACATATTGAACCGACATTTAAAGTTTTTTTTTTTTTTGGCAGAGACTGAGATAAAAAGGAAATTGGATTAACTTTGTTTTCGGAACAAGGAATGTTAATGCGTAGTAGCTGAAAGTCAATAGTATTTATCTCTGTGTGTTGAATTTTCACTTCAAAAATTTATTTCCCAGTCATTATGAAACACTTGTTTGTCATGGAGAACACAATCATCAATATCCTTGACCTAGAAGATAGCCAATATCTCCATCAAACTACAGATTTTAGTTTGAGGTGCAATGTTTGAGTGACAAGTATGCTTAGTCTCGAAGGAGTTTTACTTATATATACTTATTAATTAGTTTTTACAACACTTTTTTTATAATATATTTTAATCACTTTGAATACCGCAAATTCAGGTTAAATTAATATTATCTCATACAATCAGGGTTTATTTTATAGACCTTTTTCATGTTTGCTTAATTTTAAACACACTCAAAGTTTTTGAAAATTATTAAAAACCAGGTAAAACTTCATATACAAACTCTATCATACAAATGCATCTGTTTTAAGATGGTAACTTTAAATTTAAAAATAAATTAAATAATTAAAAGAGATTGCATGGTAAACATGTAAGGTTCTCGCATTAATTTGTAGAGAATATTTTGTATAAATAGTTTGTATATGTAATATTACTCTTAAAAATTAATCTCTTTATAATTATTGAAACTTTTTGAGGTGAGAGATTTTTATTAATTTAAGGGATAATTATAAGAAGATTTTTTATGGTTTTCAAAAAGCTTGGACATACTCATATTAAACAATCGCACAAAAGGGGTTATAAATTCATTATCATGTTATTCATCTATATTTATTGAGTTGATTTTTTGTGTACTCATCATTTTACTTTATGGCATATGAGTTTGTATGAAAGAGTTTATACATAGGGACGTAGCCACACTTCAAACTTTGAAAAAAAAAAAAAAAGTTTTATATCTTACAATATTTACAATTTTGACCTTATTTAAATTCATATTCATTCAAACTAAAAAAAAAAAAAGCTTTATATTTTATAATATTTACAATTTTGACTTCACTTAAATTCATATTTGACCTTATAAAATTTTATTGTAAATTTATCAACTTAAATGTTTTGAACCCATTCACTAAAAATCTTAACTACGTCCCTGTTTGTACATATAATATTATTAAATTATATACATCAACATACTTGATTTGATTTGGTAAATCTAACGTATGCGTAGAGATGTCAATGACGCCGGTTGGGTTGGATACAGAAATTATCCAAAGAAATAAAATAATATTGAATTTTAATTATAATTTTATAACTAATATGATTCCAAATAATGTAAAATAATTTATAAGCTAAACTACTTAATTTTACAATATAAAAGAAAAAATTACATATAAAGTTAATGTTTATACAATTATAAAGTTGAATCAAATATATGATGCTAGTAATTATAGATTAAACAATTTAATTACATACCATATTGCATATTCACAAGTGAAGAAGATGATAAGAGATCAATTTGATGTAAGTCAGTAGAGGAATAAGGTTGGGTGGCTATGGTTTTCTCTTATTTGAAAAAAAGAGAGTATATATATCTATATATATCTATATCTATATATAATCTATCGTATATATAGATCTATATATATATATATATATATATATAATTTCTAATAGATCATAATCTCTAAATTTTTTGTTCTCTAATGTCCTCAATGTGTGTCCATTAGGCCACACATTAAGATAACCCATGCAAATATTGTCAAATTCTATTTTTATCCTTAACAAATGTAAAATCTGTCTCTAACTGTGATTTGTTCTTTTTATGTGTGTAATAAAATTTGTATCATTTTTCTATTTGTTTGAGGAAGAATTGTTCTCCGTTTAATAATATCCCTAATATTTCTATAATTTAATATTTAGATTTCTAGTTAATTGATCTCTTCTTTCTAGATATCTCTTATTTTGAATACTGCACTCTTTTCAGCAATCTCTGTAAATCTTTCAGTAATTAGGTAACAAATCAATGGAGCAGGACATGATTATGCTCTTTTAGCTGCAAGATCACGTAAACATTACATGGTAATAATCCCAACACTAAAATTGATTTTGCCTATTTAATTATTGAAAAAATCTATGCTAAGGTGAAGTTTCTAGATAAAACAATTCCTTCTGTCATTTATCCCGGACTAATGCAGCCTTAGATGCTTCAATTATCAATTCAAGTATTGAAAGAAAGGTTACAAATATAAGTTCTGTATTGCAAGTCAACCCTCCTACGCTAGTACATATATAGGGGAAGAGGCGCTACACCTGGGAATCAACAACCCGAAAACTTTGTTATAAATTACCCCTTTTCCTTATCGGGATTGGTACTAAGAAGAATGGTTGGGATAACAAACATCCATCTCGTTTGTAAAGCTAAAGTAACGGACAGATGTTTAGTAATAACATTCATTCAAACAAATATATAAAATAGTTGAACTATATAAATATATGTTTTAACAACTTTTTATTTCACTTAGTTTATTTTTCATTAACTTTATTTTTTATCGATACAACTTATTATTAATCCAAGAGAATCTATATATCTCTCAAGGACAGAAAGTAATAACGTAGTTAGCCCCACCAGTGCATGAAAACAGGCTAGTCTTATCATCATAAGCATAACTATAAGCGTCAGGGCATTGCTTTTTGAAAATCATAGAATAATTGGTTGGTTTGCATGTATTAGAGTTATTATAAGATCCAGTGCAGCAGTACTGTGGTTGATTAAACTCTTCGCATGCGCTCTTGCAAGCAATCACACTCCCACCTGATCCTTTAACTTGTAGTTGTGATGGACAAACGGCGTTCACATTCCCAGTACAGCTTGCTTTGGTGCATTTACTACCGGAACCACCTGTCGGGGTTACTGAAACAGGCACGTTAAAGCCATCAACGAGGCTAATATCGTAGGAATCTTGTCCATTGTTTGCTGCAATCGTGAATTCTGCAAGGGTTGCTGGTGGGACTGCACCTTTACCATTGCAAGTGACTTGGCCTGAGCCACAGTCTGCAGTGGCGCAAATGAACTTGCCGGTGGAATCAGTGGAGCATAGTGTTCGGGCCCAGAAACGGCCTGACCATGGAGAAGGAACGGTCAGGGCCTTTGTTGCTTTGGGGGCTAAACTAAACCCGGTGGTTGATAACTGTGCTCCACCACCGGTTAGGGTGCCAGGCCAAATAGTGTATGCACAATTGTTTGTGATGGTGATTGTTCTTGAGTGAGCCCCTGAATGTAAAGGAAAACATGTAAGTGTGCATCAATTTTTGAGGCAATTGTAATGCATTATGCATGAAATCTTCTAATTAATTAAGATAAGATTTTCAACGTAAAATATCGAAAATTTCGCTATGTTATATATAAAACTTAATAGATAATACATAAAATATAAAAAATGGATAATTACTATTTTCTAAGATAAAATAACAAATGAATATTATATGATCAGAAAATTGTAATAATGAACATTAACAAAGTCCTATATAAAATGAAAGACAGTAGCCAAAAACAATGCAAAAACAAGAGTGTTGTTTACCAGAGACCAGCAGGGCCAAGATAAAGCAAAATATTGCTTGAGTATTCATCTTTGGAATGAATGCTTTGGTGTCTACAGTATGTTGTGATGAAATCATTTGATGAAGACGATGATGAAGTTGGGAAACGATGGACTAGAGGACAGGTATATATAGGCTCATATAGCAACTATTTATTAGTGTCTTGGAAATATGTGACATGTCGTGATGAAATCATTTGATGAAGACGATGATGAAGTAGGGAAACAATGGACTAGAGGACAGGTATATATAGGCTCATATAGCAACTACAATGGAGTAGAGGACAGTTATATATAGGCTCATATAGCAACTATTTATTAGTGTCTTGGAAATATGTGATATGTTGTGATGAAATCATTTGATGAAGACGATGATGAAGTTGGGAAACAATGGACTAGAGGACAGGATACAGGCTCATATAGCAACTATTTATTAGTGTCTTGGAAATATGTGATAATGCCGTGTTGGGCGGGTACATAAGTATCTTGCCGTGTTGGGCGGGTACCTAAGTCTGTTTGTTTAAATTTTTTTATAATAGTATTATTTAATCAAATGAGTAATACTAGTTACACAAAGAGGCATACAAATAGTCAAATCCAATCCTTAAAATTCATGAATGTCTCTTTCTCTCTCTCTTTTTCCATTCTTTCAAGGGCTGAATTTGACTCTTTGTATGTCTCTTTGTAAAGCTAGTATTACTCTTTAACTTAAAAGATCATCTACAATAAAAGTTTATAAATTAACTAAAACACCCCTATCCACCCAACTAGTGTTGGTAGTCGGCCAGGACCCCCGGACAGTGGTCAGAAGCTGTCGGAATGGAGTATGACTGGCTAGCACCGTCGAACGGTAGTATTTCTTTTTCATATTTGCTTATATGTTATAAAGATTAATTTTTAAGGTAGCGTTTGGTTCAGGGTGATATAAGATTAATCCTGTAATCTTTATTTAATTTTCAAGATTCCCTCATTTGGTTGTCAAGTAATAAAATATTACGTAATCTTTCATTGCAAATAGTGTTTACTGTTGGTAATATTGGGGGTAATCAGATTACCTTTCCAATGGGTGTTATTATAAGATTACCGAGGTAATCTTAATTTTGACCCTATTTTCCCCTTAATAATTTATCATTTCAGACATATTTGCCCTCATATGTCTACCAAATAACAATTACCCAGACCCCTTACATTTGAGAATTTAGCTAAAACACCTCTGCCATAAAAAAGTTTAAAAGTTAACAAAATACCCCCAACCATCAAAGACCACCATCGGCCGCTAGCCACCACCACTGGTCGCTGGCGAAATTCATCATATCGGCACAAGACCAGCAGGATCTTGCCGATCGTGTGCCGATAAGGACGTTTCCGGCCATAGATTTGTGATCCATGGCAGCAAACGACCAGATTTGGCTGTTTCACGGCCAAAAATGTGACCATGAAATGGTTGCCGTTTCACAGCCACATCTTTGGCCGTGAAATGGCCATATTAACGGCCAGATCTAGCCGTGAAACGACCATATTCACAACCAGATTTGGCCAGATTAGGCCTTATCGGCATACGACCAGCCAGATCCGGCTGGTCGTGCGCCATTACGGCGGCTTCCGGTGGTGGTGGTGGCTGTCGGTGGTGGTGGTGGCTGCCGGCGGTGGTTTGGGGTGAGTGAGGGTGATTTTGTTATAAATTAAAGTTGTATATGGTTGGGGTGTTTTAGTAAAATTTCAAATATAGGGGGGTTAAAAGGAATAATTTAAAAAATAATAGAATAAAATAATATTATATTATTATTTAAAAATGAGGGCAATTTAGTAATCTATATAACATACCCACTCATTTATCCTCCCAACCAAACATATTATTATAACATACCCATCAATTTATTCCAACCCACCAAACACATTTATCTAAAGATTCCCTAGTAATCTATCTTTCCAGTAATACAACATTTCTCAATAATATAACATTTCCTAAACTAAACGCACCCTAAGACATATATTACATTACTTAGACTGAGCCTATAAAGCAATTACAAGATAAAATGAGGCCTAAATTTTATCATTTTAATAATGTCTTAATGTTTTCTCAATTACAAAATGGCAAAAATAAGGAAAACCATTTTGAAAAGGCACACATGATGTGTCCTAAACTATGCTTCCATCTAAAAATATTCTTATGTATTCATTTTAATATATATTAATCTATTAGTTATTAGTCACCTTTGGTTGTGATTCTTATCTAAAAGAGATGGGTAGATCAGTAAACGACTTTTTCCCACCCAAGGTTTGCCTTAATAACTTTCCCACCCAAAAAGTTTTAAAATACCATTTTTTACCTAAAGTTTACATTCCATTATTACCCAAAGTCGATTTCGATAACGAAAATTCTCTCCGTTGCTACCATTTGAACCTCTGATCTTCTCTTTACAAAACCGCTCTCACTCTGACACCTAATTTCTTGCCGATTACTAGCCACCACAAAGATAAAGTTTCCTATTCTTAGCTAATTCTAACGACAAATATTCAATCTGTTATTACCATTCGATCTACCGGCCTCCATTCTACAAAACACCTCTTACCCTGGCTCCTGGTAACTCACCGAACACTGACTGAGAAAGTTAAGTATATTTTTAGTATTAACAGAATATAACCTTTGGGTGAGAAAGTAGTATTTTGAAATTTTTTGAGTCGGAAAGTGTTATGCAGGCAAACCTTGGGTGGGAAAAAGTTATTTACTCTAAAAGAGATACATGATATCATATTATATATTGAACCAACATTTACATTTTTTTTTTTTTTTTCAAAAGATAATTTTTTTGAAAGAGACTAAGATAAAAAGGAAATTGGATCAACTTTGTGTTCGGAACAAGGAACGATAATGTGTGGTAGCTGAAAGTCAATAGTATTATCTCTGTGACTCTGTGTGTTCAATTTTCACTTCAAAAAATTATTTCCCAGTCATTTTGAAACACTTGTTTGTCATCCCCAACACCGCCATCAAACTACAGATTTTAGTTTGAGGTGCAATGTTTGAGCGAGTGACAATATACTTTGTCTCGAAGGAGTTTCACTTTTATATACTTACACTTTTTTTTAATATATTTTAATCACTTTGAGTACCGCAAATTCAGGTTAAATTAATATTATCTGATACAATAAGCGTTTATTTTTTCATGTTTGCTTGATTTTTAAGACACTCAAAGTTTTTGAAAATTATTAAAAATCAGATAATATTTCATATACAAACTCTTTCCTACACATTGATGCATTTTAAGAGGATTAGATAACTTTAAATTTAAAAATAAATTAAATAATTAAAAGAGATTATATGGTAAACAATTTAAGGGTGTTCAAAAGAACCGATCGGAATCGGAACCGGAACCGGAACCAATGGGTACTTGGGATTTGGTTTCGACTTGAAATCGACCATCAATGGGTAGGTTTCGGTTTCAAAAATTTAGAACCGACACTGAGCGATTCCAGTTCCTGCAGTTAGGAATCGGAACCAAGACTAATATGACAATAACATTAAAGAGTGGGATGTGTAATTTTAATTTTGGAGTTTATAATTTTGAATTTCTGATTTTTCAACGGAGTATTGAGATTTGTAATGTGAAATTCTTAGTTTCCATAAAGTTGAATTAAAGGTGGAAGGCCTAAAGGGTTTATAATATATTTGTAATTTTTTTAATAAGTTTTGGGGGAGGTATTTGTAAGTTTTTAAGGGTTTTTTATGGGGGGTATTTGTAAGTTTTAAGGGTTTTTTGTCATTTTAAAAACTTTTGGGGGGTAAATGTAATTTTTCCAATACTAGAACCGAAACCGGAACCGTTGTTACAGATTTCGGTTCTAGGTACCCAAGAATTGGAACAGGTTCCAAATTTTAGCGAATCGTTGGCTCCGGTTCCTTCAAAAAATGTAGGGTTCCCGGAACCGAACATCCCTAGTAAACATGCAAGATTGTCACATCAATCTGTAAAGAATATTTTATATAAATAGTTTGTATATGTAATATTACTCTTAAAAACCTCCTTATAATTATTAAAACTTTTTGAGATGGGAGATTTTTATTAATTTAAGGGATATTTAATAATTATAAGAAGATTTTTGATGGTTTTCGAAAGGCTTGGACATACTCATATTAAACAATCGCACAAAAGAGTGTATTAAATAAAAAGTAAACAACTTTTTTCCACCCAAATAATGGTTTAATGACACTTTCTCACTTACAAAGTTTTAAAATACTACTTTATTATCCAAATTCATATTTTGTTTCTGATTCTGGCATCGTTGCGACTCTACACCATTACCACTCTCTTTCCTGATCATGACTCACCAAAACCCCTCAAACCTACTCCTGCCAACTCTGCCAATCGTGGACAATTGAGTAATTAGGGTTTGTGCAGTCGCCCCTCTCAAGTTAAATTCCTATCAATCCCAATCACCAAAATCCAACATTCCACCACTAAAAGACTCATCAACCTCCCCTCTTCAAAAGCCCCAACAGCCTGAGCCGAGTTTGCTCTCTGTTCGCCGCTTAAATATAAATTTGGATAGTAAAATGGTATTTTAAATGTTTGTGGATGAGAAATTATCGTTAAGCCATTATTTGGATGGAAAAAAGTCGTTAACTCATAAAATAAACCTGATAAAACGATAATAAACTTTCAGAGCTTTTTTTTTTTTTTTTACTATTTTTATTGTTACAGTATATATATTCAAATTTAAATTAGGGTGGACAAAATTTTACCCATTTTTAAAAGATTATACTTTTGCACTTTAGTGTATATAGACACTTAGAGGTGGGAATTTGGGCATGGACCCAAAAAACCAGGCCTACGACCGGTCCTCACAAGGATTAGTCCTATAAGGTTTGGTCCCAAAACCGGACCAGACCCATGGAGGAGGGCCCAGGCCTAGGTTCGATCCCTCCTCCAAGGCTCGAGCCTAGGACCAGTCCTAGGCCCGGTCTCAAATTCTCCCACCTAATTTTGTTTAAACCCCTAGTAAATATCCAAAATCCCCTTATTTAATACGAAATAGATAATAAATATAGGGGCTAAACCAAATTTTACATATTAGGGGCCATATTAAAATTTTCCAGACCTATAGGGTCAGTCCAAGGAACGGTCCTATGGGCCCATGACTAGTTCGGGCCTTGAAAAATTGCATGGGCCTAGGACCGATCTTGGGATCGATTGGGCTTTGTCCCAATTTGGGATCAGACCCATTGGGCCCAAACCTGGGACCGATTGGGCCTGGTACTTGCCCACCTCTATTGGCATTTGTGTTTTTTAAAGGGAGAGCAACATCTTCCCAGCGAAACGACATTTTCCCACCCTTCGTTAGATTCTATTATGTTTTTCGTTAATATTTTATTGAAAATACGAAAATACCCTTAAATATTTGACTTTATAAATTTTTTATTATTTTTTAATTAGATAAAAAGTCAAAAAAGAAAAAATGGTTAGTCCCACCTAAAAAGTTAAGAGTAATACTATGAAATTTTTTAAAGTTAAATGACTTTAATATTTATATATAATGTCATCAATATCCCATCACTATTATTCAATAATATACTAAATTTTTAGTGTTTTTCATATTATAATTTTTTTCATTTTTACTAACATAGAAAATCAATATTCCTAATTTATTAAATAAACAAACGAAAAAAAACATCTTTACAGTTGAACTAATAAATAATCCAGTAAAAACTTTGACTTAACTAAATTTTAATTTATAATAAAATAATTAAGAAATAAACCATATAAGGTTATTTTCATATTTTCAGTCAAATATTAATAGAAAATACTAACAGAACCTAACAAAGGGTGGGAAAGTTTCATTTTGAAACTTGATGGGTAGAAAAGTGCTGTTTCGCCAAACCTTAGGTGGGAAAATGTCGTTCTCCCTTTTTTAACAATTTTTTTTTTTTTTTGGCGGTTAAATATTTTGTGAAAAGTATTATTTGAGTTTGAACTGAGGATTTGATTAAAGAAAATAAATAACTAAGAAGAAACAAAAATTCAGAATTGAAGATGGAGGAAGGAAGAAGAGATAGAGATTAGATTCAGAGAGAAATATGTATGTATTGATAATTTTTCCCTTATTTTACATGTCAAATATAAGTGTGTTTATATATACTTTAGGATGTAATTTTGTACAATCAAAGTTGCAGATATTTTGGGATGTAGATTGCAGGTTTAAATTGATTTACTGAACTGGTCTTCTAATTCTGAGGTGAGAAATCTAGACTTCCTATTGAGTTAGTTTTGAGCTTAGTAAAAAATTTGACTTAAATTTTGAAGGGGTTATATATTCATTAACATGTTATTCATCTATATTGATTGAGTTGATTTTTTTTTTTTTACATGTATTCATCATTCTACTTTATGACATATCAATTTGTATGAACGAGTTTGTATATTTAATATTATTCAATTATATACATCAACATGTATATTTGACTTAATTTGGCAAATCTAACATATATATAGATATAATAATATTATACTTACAAAGAAATTTTACAAAAATTTTCATATAAAGTAAGATGACAAAAAATGAATGGAAGAATAAAACAAAAAGTCAAACTTATTATATTTATTTTCCATTCATTTTTTGTCATATCACTTTGTTTGGAGATCTTTGTAAGTGTAATATTACTCACATGGATATGTCAATGGCGCGGGTTGCGTTGAATACAAAAATTATCCAAAGAAATAAAATAATATTGAATTTTAATTATAATTTTATAACAAATATGATTCCAAATAATGCAAAATCATAATTATAAAATAATTCATAACCTAAACTACTTGAGTTGACAATATATAAGAAACAATTACATATAAAGTTAATGTTTATACAATTATAAAGTTGAATAAAATATATGGTGCAAGTAATTATAGATTAAACAATACCATATTTCATCTTCGCAAGTGAAGAAGATGATAAGAGGTCAATTTGACGTAAGTCAGTGGAGGAATAAGGTTGCGATGGCTAGGGTTTTTCTCTTGTTAAAAAAAAAAAAAAAAAAAAAAAAAAGAGAGTAAATAATACTTAAATTTTACCCACTCCAAAATTTTTATTATCCAAATTCAACCCATTAGGGTGGAGCTCCTTGAAGCCCTAAACCCATGGGCCATTTTGATATCCGTACGTATGCACCAAGCAAATTATCAGGGACAATAAGTTACACTGAAACTGTTTGGCCCTTTACATTTATAAATTGGAGGATTATTATCTCCCGGATGAGTGTGAGACAAACTGCATTTTTGGTTAAAATATATGCCCCATTTTGGTTTCTAACCTCCAAGGATTGAGGACACACTTCACTGAAGTCATGAATGGAGTCCAAAATGGGGCACAACCCAGACCCGTCCACTACTGATCCACCAACCGGTTGTATCCTAACAGCACCAGTGGTCCAAGCTCAATTCATAGGAAATCACTGATTGCCCGATGGCTATATTGAGTAGGGTGATTGGGTAAGTGGGTAATTGCATCAAGGAAGCAATTGGTCTGAGCCCAAATGACACCGCTTCATTGATCAGGCAAGGACAAATTTAATTGCTCGTTTCTTTGTTCATTGGGAAGAAGGCCTTTAGTATTTGCGATTGGATTGGCGACAAGCCATACAGTGTCTCTACATCTGTTCTCAAAGAAAGTTGAAACTTATATCAGAGTGCCCACTTGAAAATAATTGATTCGAATTGCCATTAGGCATGTTAGAACTTCGAAAAATCTAGGAACCATAATAGGGTTTGTCTCAGTATATGTCTTTGGAGCACATGTCAAAAATACTAAAAAACAAAAGATTTGCTTATATTGATTATAATTTCTAATACATCATAATGCTATTTGATATATATATATAATATTTACAGTTATATATATAATATTTACAGAACCGGAATAAGCAACAAAAGGAGTGGGATGGAAAGGAATTCCTTGGCAGCCATTACGGCTTTGTTTTAAGTAAGAAAATTTGCATATAAAATTAGCAGGTGGGAAAGCAACAACTTAGGAATAAGTAAAAATATTTGTGTGAGAGTGTAGGTACATTTTGCAATTCAATGAATGAGTTACTTGCATAAATAATTGATGGAACCAATTTTAACATATGCCTTGTCCACAAATGAAAGTTCACCCACTTTTATTTCTCTTTGTGAATTAATGTCAATATCACAATTAGTTAGATTTGATTCATCTTGTACTTTTATACAATAACATTATCTTAATTACATGACAGAATTAAGAATTCAATTCATGACTAATCCCCTACTATGTGAACATTAATTTGAATAAAATAGTAATTTCTTTAACTACCTAATTAAGTTTTTTTTTTTTTCTTTCTTTCTTTCAAAACATAATTTATTTGATCCAGTTAAACAAGAAACTGAATTAACTGAGTAGACTTATCATTTTTGGAACCACAAAATTTAGATCGTTGGCTTTGTTATTATTATTATTATTCTGGTTTTTTGAATCTTTATTATTTTAATTAAATAATTCAGATTTTAATTTATAAATATAATTTTAATTTTAAATAATTGCAAAATATTACAAACTTGTCAAATTCTATTTTTATCCTTAACAAATGTAAAATCTGTCTCTAACTGTGATTTGTTCTTTTTATGTGTGTAATAAAATTTGTATCATTTTTCTATTTGTTTTAGAAAGAATTGTTCTCCGTTTAATAATATCCCTAATATTTCCATAAATTAATATTCAAATTTCTAGTCAATTGATCTCTTCTTTGTAGATATCTCTTATTTTGAATACTGTACCTAGAATATATGGGTTCACACCTTAATTAATATCCAAGGTACATTCATTTTTTCCGATAGAACAAATTATTAATTCAAGAGAATCTATATATCTCTCAAGGACAGAAAGCAATAAATAACGTAGTTAGGCCCACCAGTGCATGAAAAGAGGCTAGTCTTATCATCGTAAGCATAACTATCAACTTAGGGGCAGAACGTGATAACATAATTAGCTCCACCACTACAAGTAAACGTGCTAGAATTATCAGCATAAGCATAGCTATAAGCCTGCAGGCACTGATTCTTGAATATTTCAGAATAACTCGTCGGCTTACATTTATCCGGCGAACCAAAATCTCCAGTGCAGCAATATTGCGGTTGATTAAACGCCAAACACGCGCTCTTACAAGCAATAACACTCCCGTCTGAGCCCTGCACCGCCAATTCTGATGGGCAAACCGAGTTCACATTATTCGGACAGCTTGTGGACAGACAGCCGCCGGATCCTCCTTGTGGGGTAATTGAAAGAGGCAAGTTAAAGCCATCAACGAGACTAATGTCGTAAAAATCTTGTCCCCCGTTTTCTGCCAGTGTGAACTCGATGAGTGAAGCGGGTGGGATCCCGCCAGCGCCATTGCAGGCCACCTCACCAGAGCCGCAATCTGCAGTGGCGCAAGTGAACTTTCCAGTGGCATCGGAAGCGCAGTTGGTTCGTGCCCAGATGCGGCCTGACCATGGAGGCGGGACGTCTAAGGTTGATGATGCTTTTGAGGCTAACTCAAACCCGGTTGAAGACAACTGTGATTTGCCTGCCCCAGTTAAGGTTCCTGGCCAGATTGTGAAGGGACAGTTGTTTGTGAATGTGAATGTCGCTGAGTGAGCTCCTGTATTTATCAATTCATTAGCGAAGTAAATGTCTTAAAAAATATAATTCATACAACTAATCAATAAATTTTGAGTAATAATAATAATATATTGACGGATGATATAAACAACGTGATACTTATGTGATATTGTAGATGTTATTTAAAAAAATATAGTTCCGCGTTCATCAAAAAGCTGAATATTACAACGATTTTGATCTAAAATAAATTGATGAATCAATAAAAATTAAAAAAAAAAAAAAAAATCTCCGTTAGTTAATGGAATACTATATATATATATATATATATATTGGCGGTGTTGATATGGCGGATTGATTGGATTTTCACCTTAAATTATTATATACACAACTTAATATTAATTGAAAAAATTCAAAAACAAAAAAGTTAGTCAATAGCTTACCAGAGTAGAAGAGAATGGCAAGGGTAAGGCCGAAGATAGATTGAACCTCCATTGCTGAATATTCTTTTTGTTTATGATTTTCAGTGTTAAAATTAGTGCTGCAATACCAATATATATAGGCATTTAAGCAGAGAATAGGGAAATAAATGATAACAAAAGGAGCGCACGCAAATCTGATAACTCAATATTATTTTAACACTTGCAACATTTTGTTACTGTTAGGGCCAAAAATCGTCTTGGGTTTGACAGGACCCAACGAAATAAACATGTCATGGCCCAAGGCCTCAACCCAATCCCGATTGGGCCCACGCTTAAAATCACCTTGCGACCTACCCACTCTATGCGTTGGGCTATCCTATAAGTTAAGCTAAACTGGGTTTCAGCCCATTAGCCTGCAACAGAGTATAAATAGGAAATCAGAATCTCATTCTATTTCCTCTTCTACTAAGATTTCAAATCTCACTCAAACTATTAAACTTGATCTGATAAGGTCAAGAAATCATATCTCTTTCATGATAGGGATTATCTCCCAAAATAGGACTTAGTGTCCTACTAAGATTCCAACTCTTATTTAAACTATTAAACTTAATCTGATAAGGTTAAGAAATCATATCTCTTTTATGATAGAGATTATCTCCTAAAAGAGGACTCATTGTCCTACTAGGATTCCAACCCCTTAGGTTCACTATAAAAACAGAGGCTTGCTCTCTCATTAAGCATGCAATCTCTCACATTCAATCTACACCACTCAAAACCATCTATTTGCTCCTAAGTTCTTGCTCCCAAGAACCCGACGCCTCCGCCGTAGTCCTAGCCTCCGACAAGACTCCTGGTAATTCTTCTTCTCCTTAATTCTTATTAAATCTCTTTCAGCCTTGCTGACTTGAGCGTCGGAGTGCCTACGGCAAACACCACCTCGGTGTTTTTCGGAAGCTTCACGCTTTCCCTTTCATGTGTGCAGTTCTAACGGATTGTCAATGACCTCAACCTCACGGGATCACATCCTATTTTCATGACGGTAGATTTTTTGCATCTACAGTTACCATTTAAAGAATTCAATCAAGATTTAAAATACAATTCAAAATTTTGATTTTTGTCATAATAGGTTTTACTGCACATGTTTTGTCCATTTAACTGCACATGTTTTGTTCAAATGGACAAAACATGTGCAGTAAAACCTGTTTGGTACAGAACTTTAATATAGTTTTTGTTTTCGGAAAAATAGATACAAAAACTCTTCTAGAAAAGCTTCTGTCTGAAATTGATTATAATATTTCTAATATAGTTTTCAAGCGTGAATTAAATTAGAAAAAAATAAATAAAAAATAGCCATTTTCTCAAATTTTCATAACTTTTAGGGTTTTCAATAAAATAACTAATTTTGGGGGGCTTTTATAATTAGCTAAAATCCTAAAGCTTATACCAACGTAACCAACTTAGTTTAATACCATTTTACCCTCATCCTTAACCTGCCAAGACTTAAGCCAAAACCCTACCCATTTGAAACTCTCGTTTACAATCTCTCACCATTAACACAATATTAAACAAGAAAAATCATTATATCCAAGTAACATGATTGTTCCTTACTTTAAATCCTTATATCCTTGCATGTTATCATTTTTATAATTTTAAGTTAAGAATGATTGTGTATTGTTATTCTATTTATTTATTATTAATGAGAGTATTGTTGTAAGATTTAGGTGTTAAGAAATAGCGTGATGTTTATTATTTACTCCAAGCACATGAAATGAATGATTTTGATTTTCTCCTCCAAACACAAATGCGACCGAAAAACTTGAAAATGAAAGTGATGTATTTACTTCTTTTATGGATTAATGTCGTATTTGATTGTGATTGAAGGTTTAGAGTTTGAACAATCAAGTTGGCTTCGTCACCTTCTTTTTTTTTATTTTTTTATTTTTTTTATTTTTTTTAAATGGTGAAAAATGGATGAAAAGTTGGTTTTTATATGGGGGTATTTCTAGTGTATGCGATTTGGTGGTTATATGGGTATATATAGAGCTGGTGGTGGGCAGTGTTAGCCCACATGCCAGCATTGCCCGCCTTAAAAAATGCTCGGCATGACGCGAAATTTTTTTTGTGTCGTGCCAAGGCCCACGATACTGCGAGTCATGTTGGGGTCTTAAAAAAAGCGAGTCATGTTGGGGTCTTAAAAAAAGGCATGCGGGCTGGCATGCGCATGACACGACTCACTAATATATATATATATATATATATATATATATATAGTGGTGGACCCAGGATTTTTGCCCAGGGGGGCCCCGTCACTCTGTCACTATTTGCCAATCAAGTAGTGAAAACATAAGAAAATAATTTACAGGGAAACACAAGAAAATTTTTACATGAAAAAACCTCTTCAATATGAAGAGATAAAAAAACCACAAGAATCTAACGACCCACTTAAATCCAATATAATCAAAAGAGTTTACAATAACTACAAATCAACCAAAAATATTCTACACAAATTTAGAGCTCAATTACAACTCTAACAAAAGTAAGATACACAAAGGTTTACAAAGAGATGGATTACAATCACTCTAAATCCAGATCTAGACGTTAACATTCTAACTCAACCGTCTATATTAAAGATCCACACATCCTCTGATAGACCCAAAAATCAAGTTAGAATGGTATACCTAAAGATCTAAATAATATGAATATTTATTATTTAAAGATGAAAGCAAGTTAGAATAGTATACCTGAAGATCTTCAATTTAACACGATTTCACTTCATTATGTCTAAAAATGTTCAATGATATCTTCATTTTGAATTGTAGCAAAAACTTCATTTTCAATGTAAACTACTAGCAATTGTTCATCCACTCGTCTCCCATTCGATTACGCAAAGTATTCTTAACAAGATTCATGCAAGAACACCCTTTCAACTGTTGCAGTAGCCACAGGCAAAACCAGTGCTAATTTAATAAGCAAGAAAACTTTGTCATAAGCAACATCCTTCTTAAACTCAACCATTTTTTTTGAAAGATCGGCAATCCCATCAACATGAGTGAAATTGGCATTGGTACTAACACCCATAATAATTTCAAGTTGATTATCGAGCACACAAATCGTGTTGAGAAAAATCGACAGGATAGAACTTTGCAAACTCAAGTAATCTGTCTTTATTAAATGCAGCAAAAAGTTACTTGGATCAAGAGATGCCATACACTGAAGCAACCCCATGTTACTTCATCAAAACAATTATTGAGTTCTTCTTGAATGTTATCTAAAACTGTGTATCAATTCCACCTTAAAATGATGTTATTCGTAATTGGCGCATCCCTCGTTTTGTCCTCCCAATTATCTTCCATGTTCTCCGGGATTGGTATGTCATTATCTTTACACAGATCATAAGCTTCTTTCAACAATATGTCGAAGCAAGTGTCTCATTTCTCAATTTATGCAACCGACGCTTCGAAATTTGTACAAACTGCATGGCATTAAGGAGATCTTGATCTTTTCTTTGTAAGCTTTGACAATTCATATGTGATTCCCAATACTTTCTTCATCAAGAATAACAAAAGACGAATTCAAAATTCTCCATGATTCGTAATAACTCCTGGCTTGACTTTTGTTTTGCCAATCATCTCCTTCAATCTCAATCACTCTGAGCACACCAACAGAGAAAATAAGTTTATGACACTATGAATTGTCCCTATGTGTGAAACCCACGTGTATCTCCTGGTCTTTTAATTACATTCTTGATTCAAACCGCGCCCGTCTCAATACACCATTAGAAATCAAAGATATCACATATTCATACTGATTGTCCATAGAAATCTCTGCGCTTGCAAGATGCTGCCACAGTGTTTGATAACATAGAAGAGTTTTGAAAAAATTCACCCTGCTGAATGTTTACTTACAACTTTGACTAGCGCCATTGGAGTGATAAGAGAAACAATGAATGTAAAAAGCAAATTTATTTTCTCTCAATATTAAGTCTTCAAACCATTGACTCGCCCCTCTCTATTGCTTGCTCCATCGTAACCTTGACCCCGTAAACTTGTCAAACTCAATCCATACTTTACAAAAAAGGCATCTATTGCAGTTTTCAAAGACTTTGCAAAGTATCTTAACATGCACAATCCCAATCGTCGATAACACAACTCATTTGTCCACATAGCGAAAAACAATAGTCATTTGTTCTTTCACTGCCACATCACGAGATTCATCAACCAGTAAAGAAAATGGTTGTTTATCTCTCACAATTTCTGCAATATTGTCTTGGTCATCAAATGAGCACAAACACAGTTAGTTGCCTCTGGATTTTGGGGGCCGTCATTTGATGGTTTTTCAGAGCATTTCCCAGCACAACTTTCTTTATGTCGTCATTGTGATTGGATAGAAACTTCAATAGTTCCATAAGTTACCTTGATTTCAGATTCAACCGACTCGTCATGACCATGAAATGCAATCCTTGATGTAAAAGAAATCTAATGCAATCAATTGATGCATCAAGTGAATACGATAATTCATTTGCCCTTTTTCGACACGCAACCAAGATTTACATCGATGTGTTGCCTTTGGTTCATCAAATCAACACACTTGGCATGACATTGTTATGAGTACTAGAATGATCACCAACATGTTTTTTCACTTTTGCTTTATCTTTCCAGTTACTATCCTTATTCACAAAAACTTCACCACCTGCTTGGTCACCATAATCGGGTTTGAAAAGATAACAATTCAAACAGAAGATTCATCTTTTGCCACACTATATTCCTCCACATGAACCTTCTTTGTACCTCTGATGTAAACCTACGCTTTTTATCTCCAAAAGGAGTGAAAGGAAAGTTATGATCTTTAGGTTGGCAAGGACCTTTCAACAAGTATGCTCTTCGAACTTCCTCTTTTTGTTTATCAGTACAACAAAGCTCATTAATTGGTATCCTCAATCCTGGGTCAGTTTCAAGCTCATCTAAATTGAACACCCCGATTGCACGTTGAGCTTCTTTTTCTTGGTGTTGTTATCGCTGTTTTGGGGTTTCTTCTTCTAATGGGGTTTGATTAACCTCAATATCAGTAGAGTCTCCATCAACTTTTTTTGCT